CGTCGTGAAAACGCTGTAAAATAATCCCGCTCGGCTTTAGGAGAGGAGGGGAGGGGAAAAGTTTAGACGAGAAAAAAAAATGTGCTTACAGGGTGCCCTAAAGAAAGCCGTGCCTGTATTTTATTGGGTGCCATTCACTTCCCCCACCATGCAATTACGTTCCCTCTGAAGGTGGCGCGGGGTCAGCCGAGCAATTGGCTCGGTTTCCCAATTGTCGTGTGGATAATAGCTTCAAGGTGGCCAATTACGGGCGTGGTGCGGTGTTCTGGGTGTTCTGGCGTTTGATGTGCCATCCAACGCCCCTTATTTCTTAGACCTCCTGCCCTCCCGAGTGTCCGAGTGGGAAGGTTGTGCCGGTTTGTGAGCGACCCCGCCGCTCCTGATTTGTACTTGACCCCCTACTTCATCAGTCCTTTCACATTAAAATGTTGACTGTCCTTTCATTTTTTTTGCCTTTTATTTTCATTGCTTTAAAACTGTCCATTCAATTTGCTTGCATTTATTTATCTTGGTAAGGATTTTTTGGATTTCCAATATCTCTGTGGAAATGAGTTCTGAGTAACCTTAGATATCTAGAGAGGGTTTTTTTCACTTTTGCCACCATTTTTTTCTTCCACAAATTCTCCATGGTGCCACGCACCGAGACTTCGAGGCCAGCCTGGTTGTGTCGAGGCCTGCGATGGCCTCGCGTGAACGGGGTCAGCCATAGAGGGATGCCTGCTGGGGCCATGCTTTTGCGCCTGGCTCTCGCAAATCCAACGGCAGCCCGAGCCGTTCCCTCGGCACGTCCGTCCATATTGTCTTGGACCCGTCGCCAGGAGACCGGGCGGACGGTTTCATCGCAACACCCCGCGGCTCGGGTGGCCGGCGATGGCCTACGTGTGTTCTGCCCAGTCCCGGTAGCGTGGCCTGGGAGAGGCGGGGATGTGCGTGACCAGCATCACCCTGCTACTCACAGTCCCCATCCGCTTACGGTTTTACGCATCGTGCGAGCTTGCACGCGGGTTTCACGACAGTCGTGTTCGCGGAGGGCGAGAGCTGGCAGAGGTCGGTGGGTGAAAATAAGCGTGAAATTACCGCGTCTCGTCCGCGTGTATTTCACGTTGCCGTATTTGTTATTCATGCCGGCCAAATGGTGTAGCAGGGTGTTTTATAAACATGAGCAAAGTATGGCCAAGCGTTTTTAACAAGGCTGTTCCTCACTGTCAGCGCTTCGTTGATTGTCGTCATCCCCCTCCCCCGCAGTCTGCGATTATAGACTGATGCATAGAGAAGTGCCGCATTGAGTATCGTCTTCACCATTAACTTGAAAGTGGTTGTGTATTGTAAATGTGTGTTCAATCTTTCTGTTTACGTTTTGTATGTGCACTACTATATTGTCATAATGTTACATCCGTCTACATAATAATAAAAACATTGAAAGCCTGGTTAAGTTTGCCAGTAAACATACATGCAGCTTTTACAATCTAATTAGGCCATTAAACTTAGATTAAAACACACTTTGAAAAAAAGATAGAGAATAAACTTCAAACAAATATTACTTGAAAGGAACAGCAGCATTAACGAAGGCTATTAAAAGGCAGGAGACCCGTGGCTGGCACAGTTTGTGGTGCCCAGAGGGCCCACTCATAATGACCTGGGTGGAGCAGTTTCCGCGTTTTGAGTTTGGGATGAAAAGTGCCCTATTTTGGTCGTTGTAAAACATGTGGCTGGCACCGCAGTGTTGTGATTTGCTTAAATATTTCCAGGACGCATGCGCGTGCACGTGTTTAAGCAGCCTCGTGGTGTGCGTGTTATCTCGATGATCGGCTCTCTCCTCGGTCATTTTTTGCGTTGTTGCTCGGACTTTTTTTTACGGTCTGGTCTTCTCCTTCCCCCCACTGTGTTACTGGACTCTGCCGGTATGCGTAACCCGATCGCGGTCCACCTGTGCACTCTCATGTTCTGCTCCTTTGTTCGCCTTTATGTGTGGCATTGCGCGCTCGTTCCGCCCTGCCGACGGCCACCGTCGCCCCGAGCAACGCGCCGGCTCCTTGATGTTTTTTTTATGCGTCGTCACCGACCCACGGGACACCACGTGTGCGCGCCGTGTGCCACACCACCGCCGCGAGACATTAAGACGTCGGCTCGTTGCTCACTCGTTTATTCATCTCGCCTTTTTTTTTTAAATGTGACACCGTTGAAGATGACTTTGATTGTAGGTGGACGGTGGCTCAGGGGCCCGAAGCATTGAGCTGACAACTCGGAGATCCTGGGTTTGAATCTGGGCAGCCTCCCCGTGGTTATACCGGCTTCTCACGTGTAACGAGTTGACGATCTTGGCCCGGTCACCAATGACCGTACAATTAAAAAAACTATCGCTTTAAATTAGATGTTTCACTTTGTTTGGATAATTCCAACTCTGAGACTTACATTTTCTCAGTTTCATTGACATGGGACAAACACATATCAGGGCATATAAAAGGTGTGTCCCTCATATAGATAAACAGGCCTGTTGAAGTGATCTCATCAGTAATTCTGTGACGTCATCTTCTGTGGCAGCTCTCTCACACGGTGATGCACTGCTCGCTTCAGAGTTCCAAATGGACATTTCTTCATCTCATGAGACAACACTGAGAGCACAATTTGAATGTCATAAAAAGAGAAATAACGATAGATTAAAAAAATAGAGTTAATCAGGTCACATCTGTTGCGGTGTTCCACAGGGAATGTTCGGGAATGTGCGGTGGTTCTTCTCTTTTCATATCGTATGAGCAGTCGCTCGGTCAGGACACACATCGGGGCACGGCCCCTCACATCGGGGGCAAGGTTCCCCTCACCCCGGTGACCTGAGTGACACTTCCAGGAGAGCGGGTGGTGGGGTGAGGGGACCGGCAGCACAATCCCTTCAAGGAAAACGCTATCGCGCTAAGTTGTCAGCAATATGTTGTTTCTCACGTGTCGCATGGTTGGTTTTAGCCACAGTCACGGCTCGCGGTAGCCCGGATTAGACGAGAGCTTTGCGTCCGCTGTATTGTCTGCGACGAGCTGGACGGATATGAACGGGCCCGATGTCCAAAGAACGATGTGTGTAGCGATACAGCTTCTAGGAAAAAAGTGGCGTGTGACCTGAGAGAGGCTAGTAGATTTGTGTGCGGGTCCACGTATTTTGTACGGATACACGACCACATCCTACACGTATCCTGCGGTATGATAGGCATACATTTCCTGTGTTGTGTGTGCGCGTGGCCCAAAACAGTACATGCTACTCTGATTATCGTCACGCTAACGGTAAAAAAACGCATTATTTCTGCCCGTTGAAAAATCACATTCCTAAAATGAAAAGTGTTTATTGTAGAAGGTTATATATCGGCAGAGTTTAGTGAATCGGTTTCTAGACTTTTTTTCTAGCGGGGAAAAGTGTGGGAACCGTGACACACTCCTTTGTGGTTTCCCAGAATTGAAAAGTGGTCCACACTGAGACTGCATTGGAAGTGTCATAACCGACTGAAGCAGTGCGAGACTGTTACGTATGAACAGTTTCACAAATTAAGCAACCTCGCATCACAGTCAACATCCCACAATGATCGTAATAATCCATAATAAACCACAATTTCTAAATCGTGCTTATAATGCATGATAAAAACATGGGGTGTCATTTTGGACTCAATTATCTTGGGGATATCTTATTGGTTTGATACTTGCACAAAAATGAATGCACCATCCCCATCTCAGCGTGGTTTGCATGAGCACGTCTGACACCATGGTATATTAATAGCATTTCTCCTCTTTGTCAATGAAGGTGGACACGTTTATCTCTTTGAATTACCTTCCTAATTGTTTGACGTACGACGAACCGGTCCACTTCACAGTCATTCTCATGATTACCCCCAACTTTAAAGTCGCTTGAATGTAAATTTCAAATCGTGGATCTGCCCATATGTTGTATAATAATTCTAATATTATTTTACAGCTCCATGTCAATCCACTGCTGGAACTGGTGGAACTGGTGTGTCTGTCATGGTTTGTTTGACTATACTTCACCGCTTTGGTCGGTGTGGGTTTGTTGAAGTGGGGGGGGGGGAACCAGAAATAGTTCAGATATTGCTCACCACTAACGTTAGGCCGGAAATCGTCGCTGGGTTCCACTAACCACTGCGGCACTGCTCCGCATACTATATATAGCATAATACATCTATGCACGCGATGGTCCTTTCAAGTGGGCACGCAGAGTCGAGTAGATACAGTTTCGTGGCGCACGTGTTTTTGCGCAAATTGCCCGCGTTGCCATTAGTATCGTGCGCATAGGGCCCCCCTACGCTGGCGCACGCGTGTTTGACCCAATGCGGCGTGTGAAAAAACAGTTGAGAGCGAAGCTCGGTTGCGGTTTCCTCGCAAGTGTTGCTGTTGTCATTCGACCGTAGACCGTCGCCAAGGCAGGCGAGGGAACTCTCTAAACGTGTGGCAGCCGATGCACGAACACCCAAGCCCATGTCCCGCGTATTTGTTTTTTAGCGCGTCGTGGGAAGGCAGCACGCCAGGCTGATCTCAGGTTTGGTGCAACGCTCGGTGGGGCCGTGCAACACACGGGTGCGATGTGCCAGAGCCCAGCTCGGCTTGTGCCGGATATTCACTCATGGAAAGTCAGGAGCCTGGCAGGAGGGAGAGGATGTGTAAAATGTTGTTTATCGCATCGTCAAAATAAAGCCTCATGTCATGGAGGAAAGCCAGAGTTTGCGTTTTTCAATGACACACATGGTGGCTGTGGTGGGAGGGAAGGGTGAGTGCGTTGGGTAGGGTTGGGGCTCGTGGAATGAACTTGAAGGAAACTTTCTATCACCGTGCTGTTTTCCTTGCTTAATCTCTTTCCCACGCCACAGTATTTAAAAAGCACACAATAATACTTGGGATTCCATCATCAGCCAATGTAAAAATGGTCTCATGGTTTTTATTTTTTGTTCGTCGGGCGGTGTTGTGTTTTTCTTCCAATTAAGTTCTGCTTCATGTCGCTTGTTTTTCAGGAAATGGGAAATTTCTGCGAGAGGACACGTTGAGTAAACAGGAAGGGCACAGGGGGAGCACGGCACCCCCACGGAGCTCTGCGGCCGAGGTCCCCGCGGTGGCGCCCAGCTGGACGGCCAGACCCAGGTACGGCGGCGGCGGAAAGACGCCCCCTCCCACAATCGAGCACAGGCTTGGCTGGCGCGTGGTTGTGCCTGTGCGGAAGACAATGGGTCATGTTTGTGGGTTTAAAAGATGGGCGAGGCTGCATTTGCGCACTTGGGAGCGTTGCTCTGTGTCATTTCACAACCTTGGGACCGAACGTGTGAATTTTTGGAACAAGAGGAAGTCGCCCAGCCAAAATATATTTTATTGTGCCTGCTGTAAATCACTGTACCGCTAGCAGCCATTGGACCGTGCTTCAGGCTTGAACTGTGCTCGCTTTTTAAGATGGTGCGTTTTTTTTCTTTATTCCCACCATAAATGTCAGACTCCAATCCCCAAAACGTCTGGTGTACCAAAAACATTCTCTGCTCCTTAACAATACAAAATAAAAAAACATATTCTTGTGTTTGTAATGTAGGGTATGCAGCAGTACCAAGCAATCTTTGTGAGAGATCTTCACTTCTTCGGGGATGAGAAATTAACCAGAATTAGGCAAGGTCATTGAAACAGGTATCTGAATATAGGGCAAGCCGTGTCTGCCTGAAAGAAACGGGAGCCATTTATACTGGCGCGTCATGGGCATTGACACGTGCGGCGGTTCCGTGACTTATCCTTGACCTTGCCCACACTTCGATCGCTGGCTCCATTGGAGCCGAAAGCCCGTATGTTTGAACGCTCTGACCTGGTGCGATCGGACGGCCTTCGGTCTGCGCTGGAGTCGGATATTCTGTTCATTGAACCGCTCGCACAAACAACCGGAATGCCCTGGTCTGGCACACACGTGTGAGTGTGCGTGTCGGCCAAGGCACGAATGTATGCCTGCATCCTCTTATTTCCAGTTAAGCTAGGCACACGCAGGGAGTCCTATGAAGAGTGCTCCTCCTCTATGCCCATGGGCAAGTTCCTGGCTCAAATTCACACCAACCTATCCAATCCCACTCCCCAGTCGAGCACAGTGTGTCCTTGAAATGCTGGGCAAATGCAGGGGCAAGATGCCTCGGTATATCTATTTTGTTAATAAAACCCTGTTATTTCCATGGAGACCAACGTTTAACCTATTCACAGCTTGTTATGTTATTTATATTGCTTTTTATATTGTTTAATGCAATATAAAAGAAAGGTTAAAACATCATGGCTTCCACCGGAAAAGCACAAGCCAATTCTGGAACACACAATCCAGTGCAACCATGGTATCTCGTAGAGTACAGTTCTCAAGTGAGTGCCTGGCACGCGATGTTTCTGCATGGAGACCCACCTAACAAGTCACCATCGCATTGTGCACTTGCCTTTTTGAGCTTTATGAGTGTGTTTTCGTTTTACATTTTATGGGTGGCCAAAAAAATACCCCGTTATTAAATGTGGGTCACGGTTTATTTGCTCACGTTTTTGCAATAATACACTTCTTTGGCATGTACCTACGCATATATGCAACAACAGCCGCCATTCGCCACTAAGTGGCGGTGACGTCACTACGGCGCTTTTTCCAGGCCAGGTGCACTCCGAGGCCACGTGAAGTGTCGAAGGCACGCATATATGCAAGCCTTAACAGACTGTTAGGGAAAGTGCTGTTGGCGAGCACCTATGAAGGCCGGCACGGCACATGAGGGGCTGGGTGGCCAGCACCACGCTCGACCGCCTTTGTCTCCCCAGTGGCAATGTTTACACACCACACCATGTACTTATTTGAGGACGAATCGACCTTGGGGAGACCCAGGACCGGTTCAGATAATCGTCACTGGTGTTGGCCATGAGTGGCAATCGAACTCCGGTCGCCGGGTTCATAGCGCAGCGAGCTAACCGCTACACTACTGCTCCTCATCGCATATATGCACACAGGCACAATTGAACATAAATACACACGTGTGTTCCATGAGACTGTCTCATCGGTTAGCCGTGGGCTATGCGTAGACGTGCGTCATGAAGGTGCGCGCACAAAACAGCTGCTGAGTCGGAGTCGTATAACACGTCCAAACATTGAACATTCTCAGTCAGGGTTGAGCAATGATTACAACTGACAATTTTGTACAAATGCTTTAAAAGTTGCGCAATAAGGTCACGAAGTTAAGGTGCGCATGTATCTTTGTCTTGTGTGTGTGCATTCTTGGGCTACGCCCGAGCTAGAACTTTGAATGACGTCTAACATGACCATTTGTTTGTCAGGTTCAACCAGGTAAGACAAATGCCCGAATGCACATGTTGCTCCCCGTGAGGTGTCTGCTGTATGTGCCGAACATCGGTTGCGTCTGGAAATTTCTGGCTTGAGTCGCACTGGCTCGCACTCAAGCCTTTCGAGTTGGGTGGATTTTTACACTTTTGAAGGTTAGGGCAAATTCCTACCAGGTACGGGCATGCAAATGATATGCAAACCATGTACAGTGTGTGTATGTGTGTGGGAGAGAACATTTTTTTGTATTTTTACAAAGTGAGAATTAAAAGGAAAAAAAAAACTTTCCCCGCCTCTCATGTCCTGCGATTCTGAGAGAGGCAGTTTGCATTTCTGACGAAATGTTTGGTCTGACTCATCCTTCATCTTACGTGAAGTGTATGCCTACATGCATGTATGCCTTACAACGTTGGCAAAAAAAAAACTAACTAACGGTGCAGTGACTTGCATTGGATCGTTACTCACCGACTTCGCTATGCACAATGACTTAATGAATGGGTGCTTTTGTCATTCAATTTGCATAGTTATTATTATTGTGCAGTAGCCGTGAACTCAGGTAGGAGACAATCCAGCTGCGTCTGTGTTGCGTGTGTGCCGTGGGCAGCTGACGCTTGCACCGACCACGTGCGAGAGAGTCGGGGCGATGGCCGCGTGGGCGACGTCCCTGGCCACGCGTTGGTTGGGCTGCAGCGGCACAGCGGTTTGCCACCAAACGGTGTGCTGCGAAGGTCACGTAATTTGTTTTGAGACCGAGAGAGGAAATTTGGCAAAGGTGGTGGAAGTCACACCCAACTCTGGGCTTATTTCGAAATCTCAGTCCCCGTGTTAATGACATTACAATCGATTTTAACAATGTACTATATTCAGGTGTAAAGCGGTTGGTGTAAGTGTGGTTTATTTGTAGTGTACGTTAAATCCTGTGATTTAAAAAAATATATATATAATGTCCTTGTATGTGTATCGTTTATTTGTTTTTGATTGTATGTCACGACAATTCTGCATCAATCAATGGTTATAATCTGCACCCAGATGTATTGACACATTATAATTGTTTCTTTTGGAAACTAGCACTGTCCCAATTTTTTTTCATTTTCAGAGACACTCCATTATAACAACTGCACTTCCGTGTGAATGCATTGTGCTAGTGTATGCATGGGTATTTATAGTTTGGGCTTAAACGCCGACGTCATTGCCACGTGCATATTTCCCCATGAGGTTCAGTTTTCGCACAAACATTGCGTTTTTGGGAAGTGACGGTGTGTCAATGGTGACATAAATATTCTCGTGTGGAGCATTTAAAACATCCTCTGGCCCGTTGCTCATTGTAACGCTTTTAGTCTCTGTGGGAGATGCTTGGACGTCGCGACTCACGACGAGCCGCTGCCCCGACCTCGTTGTGGAGTCGCAGCATGGTCGCAGGCTGCTCGCATCCGCAGCCTTTCTCTCCCCGTGACTAAGGCCCTCTGGGGGAGAGGGGTGCTCCCGCGGGAGGGCGGCGCGACAGCTGACTCACCAGGCTCTGCCGATTTTATTCCGTCTCGTTATCTGCAGCGCCGTGAGGCCCGCATAGGAAGTCCCCCCCCCCGTGCCACGTGGTTTCTGCGCGTGTGAAGCTGTGGCTAGGGGTAAGGCAAATAAAGGAAAACGCAATGCATTGTTTTCCTTTTTACTGGTTTTTACATGGCAATTTTAACCCGGGACGTAGCGCGTGCTTTTTTAAAGAGTCCAACCGTGTGGAGCACTGCAGTGAGCGGAGGTTCAACCTCGCGCTGCTATCACACCGTGGTGGTGCAAAGCTGTAGTGGACCATGTAGAGATGATGCTTGCAAGAGGCCACCTGCAGAGCACAGGATGGCTGTAAATGGGCTGCATACAAAGTACGTGTATAATCTATCTGTGTGGGGTTTGAGTATTTTCCCATACGCGTGGGTTTCTTATGATAATACGGTGGCCTTCCACGTGCAAAAACGCTAAACAAGGTGGTCGCCAAAACAATTCCAAGCAGGAGCCGCCTGGAGAAAAAAATTACTTCAGAAGGCCTGATGAGACTTATTTCTGAAACCTGCTGCATTGCGATGTGTGGCCCATTCCACGAATTAGCACGGTTGGCTAGGTACGGTGCGAAAGAAGTTCGACATATATACAATGGGGTGTTTTGGTAAATTTTGAGAACCAATGATGCTTTGATGGAGAAATAAGGTATTGTTATCATTGTTCTCAAAACAATAAACACATAGCAGGAATCTGGAGGCGTCTCCTCCGGAAAATAATACGGCACTGAAGAACCCGCCACGCTGGCAGGGCCCGCTGAGAGAGATCTGACCTTCGCTGTGCGTGCGTTCGTAAGCGTTCACGCGTTTTGTCGGTGAGAGCCGTCGGCAGGGTGGCGGGCACCCGTTGATGGATTGGCAAACAAAAAAAAGTACACGCTTGGCAAGCACTGAAGTCTGCGCAGGAAAAGTGAAGAGTGGCTCTAGAGGGGGTGCGCGCCAGCCGCCCAACACTTAAGGTCCTTGTATCATAAAAAATACCAAAAAAATCCCCCCCCCCCCCATAACAAGCGAAAATGCAGGACGTGGCGATTTTTGCGAACAATTGTCCGATCCCGGTTACGAGGAGACGGTCGTGACCGCTGGCGTGTCACCTTCAGCCGGTTGTGCAAGCCGCTTGCCAGGCGAGAAAAGTCGTCGGTGGGTACACGAGGCCCCACCGCGCCCCATCCACTGGGTTAGGCGAACTTTTACCGCGGCTGTAAAACCTCAGATTGCGCATTGTGTTTTTCCCCGCCCTTGCACTCCGGCATCCTCCGCACAGCGCT